AAAAAGAGTATTCTGGGTCAGAAATTTATTTTATTATACACTTATAGCTACCAAGATATTCACCAATATATTGATTTTGGAGTCTAATTTAAATCTAGATTTTTAATGTAGTCTTTACCCTTAGATTACACGTACAGTTTCATGAATAATTGACTTCAATATATACATCCTTTACTTTATGTGAAAAAGTTTATGAAATCTGTCTCTAACTAATCTGTTTAGATGTGAAACCTTTTTTTGAAATAAAGTTTAGACATGAAACCTTAGCTTGTGGTTCATAGAGGTTTGTGTTTAGATCTGTATAGAATGATTGGACTTGTAAGTCATAGACTTTAATAACTGCATTTTTTTGCTTCAATATATACATAGGAAGCTTAGCTCTTCCCAGAGGTTTCTGCTTACGTGTGTAAATAATGATTTTGCCTGTCCTCATCTAGCAGAAGCAGCACTAGTTGCTGGTCTCTAGAAGTTCAATTCCTTAGACAACCATTTAATGGTATTAACAAGAACTACAACTAGATTTATGCACAATCTCTAGAAGTTGTATTCTTTATACCACTATTTACTTGTATAAACAAGAAATTTTTTTGAGAAAAAAACTAGATATATTCTCTAAAAGTTGGATCCACTTTTTACTTGTATAACAGTGGATGAAACTAGGTTCATGGATTGTGTCATGTTGATCAGTAAATCGTTGTTTGTCTAAATATTTTCTTTTAGGTAGATTGTTACTTATCCAATTATAGGTGTCTTGATCTTTCTTATTATAAATTAGATTCCTTTATTCTCACAGCATCAACACTAGTGTTTGGTCTTCTCATTGATTCAACGGTTGCTAATATGTTTAAATTGCTCTCTGATCTAATAGCCTCTTCTTTAGGATTTATCATGTAAATTCGGTTGGTCACGTCATCCACTTTTTGCACTGCCACATTGTCAATGCTTAGGTATCTTATGGATTTATTATTATTTAAAATATTAAAATAAACAATCTTATGCATCTCTTACATGCTTGTCCTATATGTTTCCTACCAATTGGGATTCCTACAGTTGCTCAGATCTACGTTTCATGATTCCTGGGGGTACAATGTGTTGGTGTTCTAAAATCATCTGAAGTATGCTTGCCATGGAATCCCAGTTTTTGCTTTCCTCTCCTTAAATTATATGACTTGTGGTGGCAGCAGAGCCTCCCACCACTTGGTCGATGCAATATTATTTTTTTGGTGCTTGCTCAAATAAATTATGTTCATTCCTTCCAGTTCTTCATCTTATTGTGGTAGCCACTGATATTTCCTTTATTTTGGTGGTTATTGTTACATAGAATGCTCTTTAGATCCGTTGAGGTACTAAGCAGAGCAACCTTTATATTGCTGAATGCTAATTGGCCTTCCAGATCTTTATATTAGCGAACGCTAATATGGCTTCTTAATCTTTTCTTTCTCTAGTTTAAATCTTCTACAGCAACGGCAGCCACAACCAGTTGATGACACTGCTAGAGCAAAGTACATGGATATTGCTAGGCGGTTAGAGGAAGGAATCTTTAAAATGGCATCTACAAAGGTTTTCTTTTAATTTTTTGATAAGTATTTGCTTTGATTGTTATTTACTGGATTGTTGGAGTTTATTTAAAAACAGGGATTGCTGTAAGAAAATATGGAGATGCTTTTTAGCAGACTCTTTATGTTATTTCCTTATGTGTTCTGCTTATGATTTAGAGTTTCTTTTGAATTTGAGTGATGCTGGAATTTATGGTGGATGTGACATTTACAATCTGTGTGGTAGGAGGAGTATATGAATTCACAGACTTTAGAAGCCCGCTTGGGAAGCCTACTCAGGGGCAAACCAGGGAACAACTACACCCAACGGCATCCAGAGCTTGTCAATTCATCTTCTTCCATTGGTACAATGATTCCTACCCCTGGCATGTCACATGGTGGGAATCCAAGCTTGATGGTTACGTCTTCTGTTGATACTTCAATGATTGCTTCCAGCGGATGTAATATGCCACTCACAGCCAACAGAGGAAGCACATTGCCTAGCAGTGGCATGCATGGTGGTTCTTTAAATAGATCTGATGGTAAATTTAAGTCCTGCAAATGTTTCCCTGTGCTATTCATTTTACTTTTTTCTCAATTGAAGCGGATACTTTTGCAGGTACTCTGTCCAATGGATATCAACCATCATCAGCCAATTTTTCAATTGGTTCTGGTGCAAATGTTTCAACTATTGGTGCACAAAGACTTACAAGTCAAATGATTCCTACCCCTGGATTTAATTGTAGTAGTAATAGTAGCACAAACAATAGTAATAGTCAGTCTTACATGAATGTGGAATCTTCCAGTAATACTGGTGGATTTTCAGCTGTTGAATCTACAGTGGTACCACAGCAACAGCAGCAAAGGCAACATGTTGGTGGTCAAAACAGCCGTATACTGCACAGTCTTGGCAGCCAAATGGGTAGTGGTTTTAGGTCTGGTTTGCAGCAGAAATCTTATGGCTTAACAAATGGCTCTTTAAACGGCAGTTCAGGGATGATTGGCAATCTTGTGAATGAAACTAGGACTTCCGAGGGCTATCTGAGTGCCACTGCTTATGCGAATTCAACCAAACCTTTGCAACAGTCCTTTGATCAACTCCAGCGACCAGTAATGCATGGTAGCATATCTTGTCCCATCTATCTTTCTAGTTTCCTGTTTTAACTACGTTGATTTTTTTGTCTGCTTTGTGGGGGTTTGTTACCATGTGATTATACTGTAAATGATGCTATCAACATTCTCACAGCCATCTTTAAATATATTAGGTGATGGTTATGGATTAAACAGTGCTGATTCTTTTGGCTCTGGGAATTTCTACGGTACCGTATCATCTGTTGGGTCGATGACAAATAACTTGAATCCAGTCAGTTTGCAGCCTATCTCGAAAACTAGTCCATCTATGGTAAATAATCAGTCAAACTTACATGGTACACAACAGGCTGCACAGATGAAATCTCAATCAATTGATCAGTTTGAGAATATGAATTTCCAACATGCATTACCTGCAAGAGATAATTTGCTGCACTCCCATCAACAACAACAATTCCAGCAACAATCTCATCAGTTTCAGCAGCAGCAACAATTTATTCAACAGCAACGTCAACAGAAGCAGCAACAGCAGCAAATATTAAACAACGATGCCTATGGACAGGCTCAGCTGGCTTCAGATCTAGGCGGTCAGGTTAAGCGTGAGCCTGGAATAGAGCACCATAATGATGTTTTGCACTCGCAAGTTTCTGAACAATTCCAGCTATCTGAGCTGCAGAATCAATTCCAACAGAACTCAGCTGGAGATAATTCCAGGGGTGCTCAGCATCTGTCTGTCCCAACTGGGCAGAATGACATATGCTCATCACACCCTCAAAATTCGCAACAGATGCAACAAGTTTTGCATCAACAAATGGTTTCGGAGTCCCATAATGATTTTTGTGGCGTTCCTGTTGGAGCACACACAGAGTCTGTTATGCAGGGTACATGGAGGCAGCCCCAAGACAGGAGTCAAATATCTGGAAACATATCAAATGAACAGCATGTTCAGGAGGATTTTCGTCAGAGAATATCAGGGCAAGATGAAGCTCAGTGCAACAATCTATCTTCGGAGGGATCTGCTATTGGCCAAGTTGTTGTTCAGAGAAGTACAGTTCAGCCTACAAATGCAAGTGGTGTTACATGTAGATCTGGAAATGGAAACCGTGATAAGCAGTTTAGAAATCAACAGAGGTGGCTTCTTTTTCTTCGGCATGCTCGTCGATGTCCTGCCCCAGAAGGGAAGTGTCAAGATCCAAATTGCGTCACTGTCCAAAAACTATGGAGACATATGGACTTGTGCAATTCATCTCAGTGCCCATATCCTCGGTGCCATCACACCAAGATATTGATTCATCATCACAAGCATTGCAGGGATGCAAACTGCCCTGTTTGTGTTCCTGTTAAGAATTATTTACACCAGCAAATGAGGATACGGACCCGTCAAAACTCTGATTCTGGTTTGGCAAGTCCGATGACGGGATCCTGTAAATCATATGATTCCAGAGCTGCTACTGGCAGAATGAATTCTAAAGCTCCATCAGTTGTAGAGACTTCAGAGGATTTGCAACCTTCTATAAAACGCATGAAGATAGAGCAGTCCTCCCACTCTGCTGCCCATAAGATTGACAATCCTGCAGTAGCAACTTCTGTTTCTGAACCTCTTATATCCCAGGATGTCCAGCGCCAAGATTATCAACATGGTGATGCATGTATATCAATTAAGTCTGAGTTTATGGAAGTTAAGATGGAAGTTGCTGATAGATCTCAACAAGTAAGTCCTGCTATTAGTGAGACAAAGATGGATGGTGCAGATGATATCCCCACACAGAGGCCTGACAGTGAACCTGTAAAATATGATGAGCTTGCCGGTCTACCTAAGGAAGAAAATGTTAAACTTGAGAAAGAGGCTGAGCCACCTAAACAAGAAAATGTAACACAGCCTGCTGAAAATGCAGCTGGAACTAAGTCGGGAAAGCCAAAAATAAAGGGTGTTTCATTGACTGAGCTGTTCACCCCAGAGCAAGTGAGGGAGCATATTATTGGCCTCCGGCAGTGGGTTGGTCAGGTGAGAATACATTCTCAAATCTTTTCCTTTTGCTTAAGATGGGAAATGCTGGAAGTCACAAATCAACAATTGAATGCAGTTTTATGGTGGCAACTATTTTCTTTGTGTTAATTTTCATGCTTCACATGTAGATTTTGCTTTGTCACAGTTATGATATAATGTCATCATCTTGCAACGGTAAAAAAACATGTATGAGAAAGATATTCAAGGTGATTTTGTCAACTGCCTGAGTTTGCTAATTATAACCTTACAAAGGATTAGATTGTAGAATCCGAATGATATAAAAGTACAGGAGTAGTGGCATACATAATCTATATGATAAATTGAATAATAGGTTATATATATGACCATAGTTATCCTTTTACCTCCTTTGAAGATGTGTGAAGTATCACAGACGGATTGGACCACAAGAGATTGAACCTTGAAAAGAAAGTTCCTTGAGAAAAAATATCAGTTTGCTGTTCTTGACTGGGAATATATCGTGCTATTAACTGTCATGCTTTTTCTTTTCTCGAACAAAGTAATTATCCAGTTCAGTATGCTTA